CCAGGGATGTGAGGTTCAGCTCCTTTGTGTGTGTGTGTGTGTGTGTGTGTGGGTGTGTGTGGATTTACTATTTGTGCTGCACCACGATCAGGGTTCAGCCCGTAGCAGCGGTCTATCTCCCAGGTACCTATTCACTACTAGATAAATAGTGGTATTAAAAAAAACTGCCCTCGGCCAGGAATCAAACGCGGGTCCATAGGACTGTGATCTCTGAGGGCTGAGTGTTGGAGGGCCTTTCCTGCTGGAGCGTCTCTGTGCCAAATAGTCTCCTATCAGCGGACTGTATCTGGAATAATGAATCATTTCTTTCAAATGAATGTCTCTTCTACAAAGATATAAGCTCTAATGACTTGGTGTTCCAGCTATGGCTGTTCCAGGAGAAAATTATTAGCGAATTCCTGGACTCTTTGTTTTCTCTCTACGCTGGACGAGGCGAGGGTTCCATGCTAGTGCCGCACTCCTCTAGCTCCTGTCATCCGCCTCTCCCTCGTGTTAAGGACTGTCAACTAGGGGACAGGTGAGGAGTTCCATCCTATCCCCACCTTGGTTAGATTTGAAAGCCCCAAACCAGGGCTGTCTGCCTGCAACAGCAGGATTGACTAGTGACAACGCCAGGGTTGACTACTGGCAACGCAGCCCATTCTCCTAACGTTTCCCAACGTCAAGAAAACGTCACTTTAAAGTGTCTCCTAACCTACCAGAGGACCCAAAACAGAAAACGGGACTGTAAGTCACTTTCGCCAGCCGCTTCCATTTTCTAGCAAGACAATTTTTGGCCTTATGTAACACATACGAGCGAAAAGCGACGTTCTTGGTAAGAGAACAGGTTGGGCAACACCAGGCCTGACTGTTATAATACCAGGGTTAACTAGATATGTCCCCAGGGGCGTGAATGAAAGTTGAGCGGCAGCAGTAACAGTGTAATTGGTAATTACAACGGACGGTAATTGGTTGGTTGGAGTGAAGGAAGTGACGCAAGATGGCGTCTGGCTGAGCTGTATCCTGTGGTAATGACCCTCACAGTGAGTCTGGCCGCCTCAGTTCCCTGACAACGGTGATTGGTTTGGGAATAGCAGTGCTGACAGCCCCTGACTGTCTGTATGTCCTCAGTCTTGAGGTGGACCTGTATGTTCTCAGTCTTGAGGTGGACCTGTATATTCTCAGTCTTGATGTGGACCTGAATGTCCTCGGTATTACATCCTGTATTGCATCCATTTGAGGTGGATGGCATTGTGATGCCATCTCGGGGAAGTGCGGGGTCATCCGGGTTTTAGTCCCCCTAGGATGCGAGGTTCTCTCTCCGCTGGGCACTGAGCTGAGGCAAGGCTCCTCTTGATGATGTCATTAGTCTCGTTGTGTCTTGCATGCCAGCCCTTGAAGCTTCTGCAGACAATATAGACGACCTATGCAATCTATATTGGTCTGCTTCCACCCTGTTGCAAATACACTTGTTTTGCAAATTCTGGACGTAGATGCGTGTCTGTTGCCGACATGGGATTTGCCTATAGGAAATCCCCTGCATGGATGGCATGAACTGCTCTGAGGCGGACTTTCTCCTTATTTGATGTTGTGGTGTTGAGTATGTCATCAGCTATTTTTTTCACTAGTGTGTGGTCCCATCTGGACTGTTTGTGGTATTTTGTTTTATCTATGATAGGTGCTGGGACTGCAAGAGCATCCCACGGATTTGAACATTAAATGAAAGAAGGACCGTGTATCCCTGCTGAATCATTCAGAGTTTCTGGTAGGATCTCTCTTACGGGGTCGTACGATGAATGGGAGGAGGAAAGAAAGGTTGGTAGAACAATCTGGGAGGCTGTGCGGACACCAAGACCGCCGAGTCGTACAGGGAGGGTTGCTTGTTCCCATTGAGTGTCGTCCAATGGGAGGTTCGGGACGTTCTCCAGCATGGACCTCAGAAGGGCGCCATACTCGTTTAATTTAGGGCTCCTTCAGACACCCCCACAAGTCGCCCTTTCCCCTCCCAATCATCTCCCCCCCCCCCCCAGCCATCTCCCGCCCCCACCCAGCCATCTATCCCCCCACCCAGCCATCTCCCCACCTAGCCATCTCCCCCTCCCAGCCATCTATCCCCCCACCCAACCATATTCCCCCACCCAGCCATCTATCCCCCCACCCAGCCATCTCCCCACCCAGCCATCTCCCCCCACCCAGGCATCTCACGCCCCCACCCAGCCATCTCCCCCCACCCAGCCATCTCCCCCCCTCCCTCCCAGGCCCCCCCCCCCTCCCCAGCCAAAGCACCTCACAGCGCCAGGAACCAACTGGAGAAGGGATTTAGGCCGGACGGGGCTCAGCCGCCACTGAAAGCTGGATTGGCGCAAATCCAACATATTCCTGGACTTTGGAGGGAGCTTCACAGAATTCCCTGTTTACTGGGTATTTAGGGAGATCTTCAGGGAAGTAACCTAAATGTCTTAGAAGACATAGGGAGTTGGACACGAGTAGGAGAGGCGCCTTCAAGAGTGGGACACACAGG